CAATTTATTGATCCATACATGGGTCGATGGGCACTTGGGCTTCTGATGAAGAAATTTTATAATCAATTTTGCTTCTAGTTTTTTCTGTCATTCATGCTAAGTGAACTTAAAAAGCATCCATGTATTTAGAAAGATCATCTGTACTCCATGTTTTCTTCTAACAATAGATCTATGGTATTTTTTTTGTTAAATCTTTACTGCATATGAAATTTTTACTTAAGGAACGAGGGTAGAGTCAAACTTTCAAGTGTTTCCAAATGGTGAGCCAGATGTCCCACTTAACAATTCACATCAACATTCCACAGATTTGGATTCAGCTTTGTTATATTCATACATCCCGTAAGTATTTGAAACTTGTCTATTTCTGTCAGCTAGTGCGTCTAAACTATGCTCAAGGATGGTGATGAATTTAACAGGAATGCCTTTGTTTTCCCGAATTAGGAAGAGAAAATGCAAGCTTTTGATTTGAGGAATGTTTTTATCATGTTACTTCTATTTTACTGTCAATTAGAAATAATGACTTATTTCTAGCTAATGTCTTTTTGAATCTTTGGATATGATTATATGAGTTTTCTCCTTTAAAAACAGTCACATGCCAATGGTAGGGGGTCAGAGACCGATTGTTTTCACATGTCTCTGACCTAGCCCACCACTGGTATGCGACTATTAACACTGATAGGGTCAATTATATTAACACAGTTCCTTAAAATGAACCTATTTTGGTTTTTTTGGTGTGAACTCTGGGCAAATGATGATTTTCGTAAATCATCATTGGATGATTGGATCTTATTTGCAAATATTTTATTTAGAATACAGACCACATGGTCTGTTGTTCTGTTATTGTCTGTTAAGCTTTGTCACTTTTCAATGTTATGCTGGTTTTAAACTGAGAATCTGAAAAGTTCCCTTCCTATGTCCTACCAAGTTCAACAACATTGAAACAACCTACTTTGAAGATGTAGTAAGACTCCATCTGTGAGACCAACTGCACTGGGGTATGTAAAAAGATGTCTCTGAGACAAAGAAACATTGAAATTCTTTTTAAGGTAGTTAGTTATTTAGGGTTTACTTTTATTGGCATGAATTTTAGTGATTTATATTTTGCTATAAGTGATCTATTATACATAACCCATTTCTGAAATACTAAAAGCTTGACAAGCTTTCAAACCTGTCTGAGAAGTTAAATTCTTTTTTTTTTTTTTTTTTTT